TAGAGTTATCTTTCAGTAGTACTGAATTTTTAAAAATTCTTACGAGCTTAAGATAACTGAAAATTAATATATGAAAAAAAATAAATATGAAAATTAATTGAAAATTAATATAAGTTTCAAGGTAAAAAACGTCAGTAATTACTTGTAATTTACGTGACACCAAAGTTAAAGTATGCTTGCTAAGTAAAGCTGCATATTCCAAATTCTTCGACCAAATCACATATTTCACCTATAATCTGAGTGTACATATACATTGCAAGCAATCAGAATCGAGCACTTCTAAATCGAGCAATAAATTCAGTCAGATTGTAAAACATATGATTAGACTGAATTATTTATAATTAAAGAAACTGAGCTTACGACAAGACTTGCCTAATAATTTTCCATTAAAAAAACTTGAATGGTACTATCATTTTGCAACAGTCATTTCAGAATTAAGGAGGAATTTTTTCTTTGCAAATTTGAATTTCTCCATTGAATTGTGCAATTTCGTGCAGTTTTAGCAACCTTGACCAACCTTAGGAACCTTTGCTGAAGCCAGAGTGCGCTTTTGTTGGATATCAAATAGCTGAATACCTTCGCTATTTTTCAAAAGCAAAAGTCCAGTTCCAGCATAGAAAATATCATCAATTGGAACGTTTTGTTCAATCTTTCGATTTTCACGATTTGACAAATCTCTGATTGTAATCTGAAATGATAAAATTGATTCCAAAAATAGTAAATATATGAAAGAAACACCTTTTAACTTCAATACTACAGATTAAATTTACTGGTCGTTTAGACAAACTTGCTGATTTTTGTCCAGGACAGCAAAACGATTGCGTGCTACCCAGATCGCAGCCACACCCGGAGAACGCTTACCTTCCGAAGCCTCACCACTACTATCGGATGCATCTTTTGATACCTGCAGTAGCTTATTTTAACTATTTTTTTGATTTTGCATGTTTGTAAAGATATAAGGTGACATAAGGAAAAAAAAAAATGCGTATAAGAAAGATTATGTTGTTGTATGTAATGGTGTTGAGTCCATGATAATAATATCACTAAAGATTTAATGCAAAAGCAATAATTACATGCAAGAAAGGAAGGGAAGAAAAATAAAGTTGATATTAACACTCACTTTATACATATCGTATGTACAATATTCAAGCATAGGCGAGCGTGTAATCAAAAGGAATGAATTTTCAGCCGGATTGTAATGCAATGAATAATACGGTTGCATAAGTTTACTGCCACGAAGTTGCACTAATGCTACATCTTTACTGAAAACTTCTCAGTATGAAACGAGTTATGGTCTCCAAAACTTTAGACTTTGAACACTCTATTTAATTTTAATTTTGAATAAATATTCCTCAAATATAATTCCAGTGCAAATCTCGCCGCATACGTTCTTATTGTCTCTTCTATATTTACCAGACATAATATACGTACTACACATATGATATGTTTCCCACACATCTATGAAACTTTTTTTTTTTTTGAAAACCCACTTATTAGTTAAATCCAAACGTCTCAGCTGACGATCCTTTACATAAAACACTAAATTTTCATGTACAGAATATGCTGGACGTTCACGTTCAATTTTGAACACCATCATTCCACTATCATGACCTGCTGCGAACATATTCAGTGTTGGATGGGCAGCCAAAACCCAAAATCGATCGTTATCATGCCTGTAAATTATGCCATTAAAAATCAGTCACACTTTGTCTGTTTCAAAAACTCTTCCTTTCAGAAATTTTCATAACTAGATTTCAAAGCAATTGCCGCAGAACCTTCAAAAAATATTCCCAGACCATGCATAAAATTATGCAAATTAAAGTTAATATAAGGCAAAACTGTTTTAAGCTTCATTTTTGAAAGTATACCTAAACGTATGTAAGCATGTGCGTTTTTGCATGTCCCAAACACGAATACTTTTGTCTTCGGAATTACTCAATATCAATTCTGCTTTTGCATGGAACAGTACTGATGATACGTTATTGTAATGCCCTCGGCATGAATCCACCTGCAGAAACATATCATGGATTTTTTCCATCTTTGATAAGCTTTACAAACCTAAAAAACCAATCAGCCTAAAACTTAAAATATGAGAATAAGCTAACCTCCCAAGCTTTGCTTTCATTATAACGCCATAATTTTACTTGACGATCGTCTGCACCGGATACCAAAAGTGGCATAGTTGGATGGAACGAAACCCAATTAACTCCTGAATCGATTTTTTTAAATTAAAAATGGTCAAACCTAGAAGCAAACACCCTGCTTGTTGGACAGTGTAAATTATCTGCGGTATTGATGGATAGGAAAAATAAAGAACTTATGTAATTTAGTAATAATTATCCCAGTCATAATATTGGTTGGGTGAGTAAAAAAGACTTCCACCAAATGTTTCATGCAAAAAGGGATTCTAAATAATGAAAATAAGAAATGAAAACGTTTGCAAGAAATGCAAGAAAACGTTCCAGCATACCTCTGTCATGCCCTTCCAAAACATGTTTGACCACGACATCGGGTTGTCCAAACAAATCGCCACTAGCTACGCCACTCATTGAACGTACACGTGATATGTCGTTACCACTTCCTGGTGAAACATTCTTTTTTCGCAATCCAGATATGTCCCAAATTCGAACAGTTTGGTCTAGAGAAGCCGATGCCACTAGATCCTCCGTTGGATGAAACTGTGCGCACATCACATAATGGTTATGACCTAGTAAAATACGAATTTCGGTATAAAGGTACAAATGTTATCCATAGAACAGAGATTGCAAATTGCTAATATGGTAAAATTACAATATGTCCCAATTTAATAATCAACTTTTTCTATTCTTATTACTTTAAACTGAGATCGAAATAGTAATATATACATTACCAGTCAAAATGGCAATACTGTGACGACTTTGCCAATTCCAAATTCGTACTGTTTGATCATCCGATGCACTAATAATCCATGGATAGTTGCTGTGAAAAAATGTGGTACGGATATAGTCAAGATGACCGAGTAAAGTGAATATACAACGACGCTGCTTGTAATTCCAAACCTAAAATTCTAATCTTCAAGTAAAATCCATATTACAATTAAAAATATATTCAAGATGCAAAAAAAAAAAAAAATTTGAAAAAAACTTCATTCCTAAATAAAGTCTGTCAAAAGAACAACGACTTCTGAAATTTCTGCTTCTCAAAAACAAAAAATATTAGTAACAAAAAATTATCACTTCTATAAAATCTACCTTAATTTTGTAATCATCACCGCCAGATACGAAAATCGGTTGCTGACTATGAAATGCAATACCACGTACAGGACCGTCATGCTCGTCAAACTTATCCAACATAACACACATTCGATAATCCCATAACTGAATGATACCACTATGCAGTGATGCCAAAACCCATGGCCGAGTCGGATGGAATGAAATCCCTGAATAGATAAATTACAAACACACAATTCGGAATTACAAATTCACAGTTTAAAAAAGTTACGTGTCAAATACAAAAAAAAAAAGGATGGGAGAAAGAAATTTGTTGAAATTTAACTTTGATATATAACACTGAAAGGGCAAGTAATAAAAAATAAAGCTTAATAATAATAGGGAAAAAAATGATCGACGTTATTTTACTTTAAAGTCGAAATAAAAATTCAAATATTATTTTTATTTTAAATTTCAAATAAAAATGAGTAATTAAAATGGCTAAAATAGAATACATTCAGTAATGGTCATAATTTATTCATTTTAATTTAGTACAAGAATGGGTAATAATTTTGTCCATCTTTCTTCCGCTATCGCTTTCATGCTTTCAGGCATGGAAAATATTTCCTACCAAAAACTACCTTTCACTCGTGCTGAACTCGACTCGAACTTTTTCAAAATTGTCATCGTCTGAGAATCTAAAATGAATTTTAACTTTAGCTCTTGAACCATGTAGTATGCATTAAAACTCCTGAAATAAGCAATACCCGAAGAACAGTACACCATATAGCAGCAATGGGACGCTTACTCCAATAACACTAAAAACCTTCCACACTTCAATTACGTGGAATTTGAGACGGACTGAGCAATCCATCAAACCAAATTCACATATGAAAAGAACGATCCCAGAACAGGAAGTAAGAAAAAAAGATAAAGATTTCCCTGAATTTTTTGAACAATCGACTTTTCCAGGTTTTCTTTTAAAAGATTCTGTGGAAATTTTTGTCCCTCGGATGGCTCTGCTCATCTCATATTTTTCCTTTTTAGAAAATTCAATAAAAAATTTTGTTCTTCAGATAAGCAAATTTTCTGCATTCTGTCCTCCTACAGAATATCTTTAAAGAAGTTAGATCCTGCGAAACAATCAATTTTATAGGATTCACTTTTCTTTTCTGTTTCAGGAACTCAACTTGAGGTATCGATTTTTTCTGCTATTGTTTTATCTGATTTTGTCATCAAAAATTTTCCGATATTCATAGCACGATATTGTTACCTTTTCTCAAGTAAAGAAAAAAAATATTTCTAGGAAGTTTACTTCTATTTTTTTATTTTCTGCAAATGTCTTAGAGAAGTAAGAGGATGAACTTAAATTTTTGTTGCCCTTCTTGGGCAGGGAGAGGGAGAGAGGGAAGAGAAAAAAGAAAATACATTATTCGAATTTGTCACTTAAAGTATATTAGAATGCTTGGATACATTTCACCCATAGGTTAAACATTCCTAATGAGTGAAATTATATTTCTTGGGCAGAGTCATTTATTAATTACTTGAAGTTTAAAAAAGTGAAATGTATCCGTTATATTTGTCTGTAAGAAGCAGTTTCGCAAAATCAGATTTAAAAGGATAATTATGTATTCTGTTCAAGTTAAAGCAGATTTGCTTTATTTAATTTGGGCTAACCAAAATGATTCTAATTAATAATTTTTATTAAGCACCAAAGATGTGGTCGAGTGATATATCATAATTAATAATAATAATTGCAATTTATGACAGTCATGCACATTGCAGATGATAATTCAGTAGAAGTAACACTCACTATCGAATGAACTTGTCATATAGATTCAAAATAATAGCAATAGTCTGCCGCTCGTAATTATCATCCATATCACCAGACCTATCACAACTGCTATCCATATCACCAGACCTATCACAACTGCTATCCATATCACCAGACCTATCACAACTGCTATCCATATCACCAGACCTATCACAACTGCTATCCATATCACCAGACCTATCACAACTGCTATCCATATCACCAGACCTATCACAACTGCTATCCATATCACCAGACCTATCACAACTGCTATCCATATCACCAGACCTATCACAACTGCTATCCATATCACCAGACCTATCACAACTGCTATCCATATCACCAGACCTATCACAACTGCTATCCATATCACCAGACCTATCACAACTGCTATCCATATCACCAGACCTATCACAACTGCTATCCATATCACCAGACCTATCACAACTGCTATCCATATCACTAGGCCCATCACAACCGTTACCCATACCACTAGGCCTATCACAACTGTCATATCAATAGGCATCCATTATCATCTATATAATTATCAATTAATAACAAGAATCGCAATTATCTATGCAAGCAACGTAATGCTATCAATATCCTATGGTATTGGAAATTAATTTCTTAATTCTTTAATATTTATTTCTTATAAGTTTATCTGAATATTTCTTTCAATGAATTATGAGAAATACCTTCTTTTAGAAATGTATATATAGCCATATATGTATATTTCTTGTAAACAAAAGAGACAAAAAACATACTCTTGTAATTTCATATGTAAGGCGAAAATTAATTAGCAACACGAAAAAAATTGGAAAATAATTTAGCAGTAATTGTATGATGGAGATTACAATGACAATCACTGTAATAATAGAGATTACTATTCTTTTATTTATCTTATTTTTTATATTTTATGATCTATAGTGAAAGAAAAAAAAAATTCCAGGAAATTAAGCTTTTTTTGTTTCTTTGAATTTCTAATTTTATAAACTGTAAAGCAGATAGAATAAAATAGAATTAATACGGATAATTATGCTCTCATTATTCTTCGAATAATAAAAAAATTGAAAAATAACGATTGCAATGAACCACTGATTCATAGAACTACTACAACAAGGTGAAGGAGTCAAATGGTCATAGCGATAACAAATAAATTAGAGTATAATTATCCATATAAACACTTGCTAACACTTCATTTTCATTTTTAAAAATGTCATGAAAGCTAACAATTATAAGTTTTATGGAATATCAAATGTAAAATAATTAACCTTATGCCTTCTTGTCTTATCAAAATGATGATAATTTAACTGTTTCTTTTATACGATCATTAATAACCCAAAAGCTTGAGTTAGCTATACAGTTGAAAACAAAATAAAACAGAAAAAATCCCTTTGGCTCTTCATCTGAATTTTTCCATATAATAAAATTTGTGTACAACCATTCATTTGAAATTCGGAAAGAAGACGAAATGGAATTAGCAATTCTGATTTCTATCTCATTTTCATTTCCATTTTATTTCATCCAAAAGAACAGCATTTATCTATCATGAGATTCCAGGAAATGTCATAGAAAAAAACAAGCAACAATAATTCAAAAATTTAGCAAACAATAAAAAATAAATAAGCAATTAATGTAAGTAAAATTTAAAATTGTAAGTAAAATTATTGTAAATTGTACAAGATAACGAGAAACAAAAGAGAAAAGAAAATAAATTCTGAATGAAAGAAGTGAATTTTGTAAATGTAAAACGTGAAGACCATTTGATATACAAAGAAAACTTTCCCGAATACTTCTTTCTTCTGCAAAAAGGTAATTAATTGTTTTCATGGACAAAAATTTTTGCCAAATTTTATGAAATCAAAATATTGGAAATTCTTTCCTAAATTGCCGTTATTCTTGTAGTAAAGACAACAGCTTGCATTAACTAGAAGTAGCAGCAAGCTATTGTTTTTCTTTAATAAATTACTCCAAAAAAAAAGAATTCATCTCTTTTTTTTCTAATAAAATTTGTTGTTAAGAAAAAAAGAATAAGAAGTTTAATTTTGATGGAAAAAAAAGTATATTCATATTAGAGAAATATACAATCAAATCAACAAATGATTTATAGTTTAAACAAACATGACTGCAATTGATACTTTCAAGGATAGCAAATGAAAAGAAGCAAATCTGATAAAAATATAGCAGTGAATACTTGATTTCGAACTTTATTACTACAAAAGATTACTTCCCCTCAATAATATGTATTTCTTGTGATTACCACAATATTTGGTATAGCACTCTTTACATTCTTATATGTTCTAGCAATTACTTAAACAAATTCAATAAGTGGTTCTAGAACTGGTTGAAATTTCTTTGTTACTGAAGACTTCCTTCGAGAAATACGCGATTTTCGATTGGATATTAGCGAAGTACATAATCCGGTTGAGCTTCCGCTCGCTTCTTCAGCAACCGTATCAGTGATGCATTTAGCGCTTCCGGTGGTAATTGTCGCTGATCGATAAGTATTACTGTCTTGTTCATTGGTGAATTCATTATTGTTTCCATTAAGTAAAGACTGCTGTTGTAATGTTTCATTAAATTTTGACCCTTCCGTAATGCTTAACATATTAGCTTGCTGAAGTTGTAGATTCCTTTTACAACGTAAAAGATATTTCCGATAAACATCCGGCACCAAAATGGCTGGATTATTTTGATCTCGTACAATTTTTACCGAACTCATACGTTGCTTAACATCCTAAAAAAGTATTAATAGTAATAAATAAAGATTTAAAATTTCCAACTTTTCTTTTCTAAATTTTTTTTTTTTTCCAAAAAACATTTAGTGTGATGTATTACCTGTTCAAATGAGATGAGCTGTCGCCAAAAACCAATATTTGGTTCCACTTTTGGTCGTACGGAAGCCAAATGCATGTAAGCATCACGCAATGTTTTAAATTTATATTTGGTAAGAAAAGCAAGGCAAATTGTTGCGCAACGTGATACGCCTTGTACCGAATGAATGAGAACTTTACCACCTCTGGCTATCACTTTTAGCATCTACAAAAAATTATGACATTTTTATATGCTGCCTAGTTTATGATTTTCATTTCTAATAATAAATGCTTGGGAAAATGTACAAAAAAATCCATTCATTTTCAACAATTTGAACTTCATATAAAATTCAGAATTGAATTTCTTAAATGGAAGAAAAAAATTCTAAGTTCTGAAAATTCTTAGCAGTAATATATTAATAGCAAACCTTATCACATACAAAATCCAGATATGATAGAGCCCATGATTCTTGAGTATCTTCCAACCAAAGTTTGATTCTTGGCAATGTACCTAATGAAGCTGAATTTGGCACCTATAAAATAGCAAAATGTTTTCATCAATATCTCAATTTTATTCACTCATCTTTTTTAAGAGGAAAAGTTCTTAATTCGTCCACTAAAGGCTGGGAGATGTTAGGTTTCCATACTGTTCAACCTCCACGTGATAAAATGAGCCTAGAAGGATAGGTGACCGGTAAACCAACCCACAAAACAATTTGTTCCAATTTTCATTCAGTGTTTAGTTTTTTTTTTTTTTTTTTTAAAAAAAAAAGATAAAAAAGCGAATTAAAAAAACCCTTTGGCCATGTGTAATTGTTCCTGTTTGAAAGTTGAATACTGGTACCATAAAATCAGGAACAAGAGGTGTGTTTCCATGAAATCAATCGTGTGGTACTCCTATTCGCAGAAGTAGCCATTATCAGGTGGGGGAAAGGCTCGTACGTGGAGAAATATACCACTGTAACCATTATCCTAATCAATTTATTAAATGAATTGAAACCAAAAAAGGAAAAGAAAGAGGGAGAGGGAGAGAGGGAGGGAGACAATCGTAGTGAACAAGTCATTTTTTTTTCATTGTAAATCATATTAAGGGCAAAAAAGTAAGTGAAAAAAAAAAAGCGAAAAAGTTAAAGTATACAAAAAAAATTTTTCTTTAGTCCAAATTTAAAAAAAAAAAAAAATAAAATCAAACTTTGTTTGATTCATTTTCCATAATGTTTTCCCATGCGAAAACATAAAATAAGCAAAGAAATTCTGAAAAGTTACCGCAGTATGGCTATTAAAAATTTCTTTCCTTTTTTCTTTTCATCTCATAATATTCCAAACTAAAAAAAAAAAAACAATTTGTTTTTTTTTGGAAATCTAGATTTTGACAAATATGCCAATTTTAAATTATTGGAAATCCTTCCCCATACGTTTTTTTCTGTTTCCTTTTGCCATATCTTACCTCACTGGTAGCATTGACGATCATCGTAATGTTGTATTCCTGAATTGTTGATGCTTTCAGGGCACAAACACCGCTGATATACAAACCCGGCAGAACTTCCGAAATTCCCGCATGATTGACGTTCAGGACACGGTAATATACTAAACGTCTGGGTGATTCATTAGCGGCCATAATTTTTCGTTTTAAGGGAACGAATATAATTTAGTACGTCTCAGTGTTTCCTGAAATATAAATAAATTTGATTTATTCCTATTTTTAGCAACTTATGTGACACGTAGATACGCATATAACGTGGAACTTTGAAACAAAAAGCAGAAAAGGAAAGACAAGTGATTGAGAAGGAATAAGTATGAGTGAGTGATATGCACTATGGGTTGTCTTTTGGGTACATTCCGCAAGATGTGACATAGAAAGATTAGAGCCGCCCGTTCGGGGACACTTCACTAGTTGTCGCCCATTTGGGGACATCTCATGGTGGACACGCCTTCAACGAGCTATTATTGAGTATTGTTGGCATAACTAAAAGCAATAACAATTATGACCATCACTGCAGAATGCACACTTAAGATGCGATGTGAAGTAATGTCGTACAGAGGGAGAGAGAGAAAGGGAGAGAGGGAGAGAGAGAGAAAAGCGAAGAAAAGAGGAAGTTATTATTTATTATTGAAATCATCGCTCAAATTTCCTCTTATTCCTCGAAATAATAATGCAAAGGAAAGGAGGGAATTTGATGAAGTTGACAAATGATAAAAAGTATGACGTGTGATAATAATGCTGATAACTGATGACTGATAATATCAGCAGTTGATAAACGATATCAGTAACTATCAGGTATCATATTGGTGATATTTGAAAAAACGAAAATTTGTTCATTCTTTCTAAAATTTGCAAGCCATTTTCTTATGTAAGATAATATCAACAAAAGGCTCAGACAAAGGTAAATTATTCAAAAAGGTATTTGATTAAATATAAAATTATTCCTTCCTCAATAAAAATTTTATGTTAGATTCACAGTCCTATCAAAATTATAATACTTATTTTAATGAATTTAAAAACTAAAAATAAAAAATAAAAGCACCACATTTACATTTATGTATGTGTGTATGCATACATATATACACTACACTACATATATGCAAATTTGTGTGTGTGTGTGTGTGTGTGTGTTATGTATGTGTATGTATTATGTCCGTATGCGTATGTGTATGTATGTCTGCATATGTGCATG